CACTTCCAGGGATATGCCAGTACCAATTTACCATCGAAATGAATGAAAAAGTTATGCTGGGAACGGCTTTCATATTGGCAAAATCGATACTTCTTTGGCTTTCAGCCTTTACTTTTATTCACCGATTGATCAGTTTCATCTGAACTAAAATCCTTATATATAGCTTTGTGTGTGCGAAATATAAGTTTAATTAGGATTTTGCTCTGTCTTTTTTTAATAAAATTTCTGTTTCATCATCTATAATTTACTGCTTTTCCGCCTATTCAACGTATGTTAACTTTCTATGGTTGCTGTAATTGAAGCTGTATTATCTTATGGTCAATCTGCTGGCGTATTATTTCTGGTGTATTCGTTCGGTGCCTTTTTTCTTTGTATTTGCCCTTTTGACCGGAATATCTGGACTGGTCAGCAGTGAAATAGCCATTGGTCAAGCTTGTTCAACTGCCCAGGGCACGGCAAATTCCTCAGGCCCTATTCTTCGGTATTTGATGATAAGTGTTTTATCAACTTAATAGAAAGTTATAATAGGGAAGAATGGAAAAAGAAAAAGGAGAAGAAAAGTAAAGCAGTTAGTGATAAGTAATTTATTAGCTAAGTGAATTATCAGGTGAATTTATCGATTAAGTATTCAAGGAGAAGCGATTTTTCAGCTTTTGAATTAAGCTATTTTGCGAGAAAACACCAGGAAATAGTGAAATAAATTGGAAATTTTGAGGATCGGTACAAGTTTAATTGTCCCGTAAGGTGTTTTTTATCATTTTTCCTAATTAATCAACTTAATTCCAAGGTATTTCGCGAAAAACGCCAGGAAATAGTGAAATTAATTGGAAATTTTAACGATCGCTGCAAGTTTAGTTGTCCTATCAGGTGTTTTTTTTATCATTTTTCCTAATTATTGAACTTAATTCCAAGGTATTTCATGAGAAAATGCTAGAAAATAGTGGATTGAAAATTTTAAGGATCGGTACAAGTTTAATTGTCCCGTAAGGTGTTTTTTTATCGTTTTTCTTGATTCCGGCTGGTAGAACCCCCTCCCCCCGCCACTCCCGCTGGGCTTGCTTGGAAGACATGGCTTTGCTGTAACAGAAGATGACCCAAGCCAGAAAAAGATCGGACTTCTCCGGCTCTAAATGCTTCATGTTATCATTTCGAACGATATACTGCCGTAGTTGCATTATTTGTACGAGCAAAGTAAAGTTAAAATGTAATAAAATTAAATGTACTGTGTACCACCGGTCATTTGGTCATTGTTTTAAGCAAAAGTGAAAGAACCGTATTTTTACCTTATTTTTGAAATAGCTACCAAAAATTTGAAGAAGCCATCTTTTGCGCTGAGCTAGGCTGATTGTAGCATACAGGTAATATTAAGAAATGTTCACATTTGTCCACTTCCTATTTTATCGGATGAATTAGGAAGTGGACAAAAGTGGACATAGGTCTAGTTCAGGGGAAAAGACGACTTCAACTTTAACGCAGATTGCTGTTCAGCTTGTCTATCAGTATATTATTAAAGGTTAAAAAACAAATTATCATGAGAAAAGGAAACAAGGAAGAAGAGGAAAAGGATATTAAAATAAGTAAGGGG